AAGGAAGGAGGGAGGGAGGGAGGAATCAGGGAGGAAGGAAGGAAGGAATGAGGGAGGGAGAGAGGAAGGAGGGAGGGAGGAAGGGAAAGAGGAAGGGATAGAGGAAGGAAGGAAGGAGGGAGGGAGGAATCAGGGAGGAAGGAAGGAAGGAAGGAAAGAGGAGGATAGAGGAAGGAAGGAGGGAGGGAGGAATCAGGGAGGAAGGAAGGAAGGAGGGAGGGAGGGAGGAATCAGGGAGGAAGGAAGGAAGGAGGGAGGGAAAGAGGAAGGGATAGAGGAAGGAAGGAAGGGGGGAGGGAGGAAGGGAGAGAGGAAGGAAGGAAGGAAGGAGCACAGAGAAGCTTCCCACAGAGATGGCTTACCTGGATGTTGTGACTGCGGTTGGATTGGCAACGGTCGTAAGCGTAGAGCAGAGAAGCTGAGAGGAGAAGCTGAGACGCCTCAGAACCCCAGATTCACACACAAAGACCCCCCACCCACCCACCCACCCAATTTCCCTCAGACTTCATCCAACAGCCAGAAAACGCACCCCCACCCCAGAGGTGGACCTTCAGAGGTCCTCTAGTCTAACCCGCCCCCCGCCCCTCCCCCGCTGCTGAGGCAGGAGACCCTATGCCATTCCAGACCTCCGGCTGCCCGGTCTCTTCTTCGAAAGCCTCCCTCCCGTGATGGAGCACCTCCCCACAACCTCTGGTGGCAGGCAGTTCCACCAGCTAACTTGCCCTCAAGTGCCGAGGAAGTTTCTGCTTCCTTCCAGACGGACCCTCTGTTGGTTTATCCCGCCTTTTGCCTAAATCCTTGCCTAACGTTTTGTGCCCAGGTGGACGAATACGACGTGCCCTGCGAGAAGGACCTGGGACCCATCGTCCTCATCCGCCTTCACAAGGAGCCCTACCTCTTCTTCCCCAAGGACAACTGGTTCTGCAGCTACGTCAGCGTGAAGACGCCTGTGGGGGAGACCTACCACTTCCCCTCCTATCAGTGGCTGGAGGGCTACTGCACCCTGACTCTGCGCGAAGGGACAGGTGGGGCCGCTTTTCACTCTCCTCCCCCCCCCCACACACACATACATACACACCTGGGAGGGAGGGGAGAAGGCAGGTGAGCCAGCCCCAGACCCACCTGGGTGGGTGGGTGGGGTCTCTCTGCAGAGGAGTCTTCAAGATACGGCAGAACATGGCATGGTATAGGGGTTAAGAAGTTGCTCGTTGCAACACCAGGAGACGGGGAGTTCTAGTCCTGCCTTAAGGAGGAAAGCCAGCTGGGCGATTCGGGGCCAGGCGACAGTGAGTTCTAGTTCTGCCTTAGTTATGAAAGCCGGCT